ACCATTGGTAGAACCAAGGTTTCTTTTTCAAAATTAGTTTAAGTATAAGATACTTAGTTTTGTTTTTATAAAGATTAATTTAGGGTCATGTTTTCATAATAATGAATATTAGAGAATAAAATTAAAACTTCAACTATTATGTCTTTGGGAGTTTTTGTTATAATGGCATCACAGACTTAGAAAATATGTCAGAACATGGATGAATCTCACAAGGTCTTACACCTAGACGAAGAGATACATGCAATTAACAGCAACATGAAAGAGAAAGAATCAGTATTCTCTCCCTGATTGACTATACAACCTCAAGGTGTCAGCCTTAAATGCATATAAATGATCAACACTAAATGAATTCAACAAGTTGTATTTACATATGTGTGTGTGTGTAAAAACAATAATTAACATGGGACACTAAATTTGGAAGTGTGTGGATGGACATCAGAAGAGTAGAAAAGAGAAGGAGGGAGAGATGAAATGCAGGACTCACACATGAAAGTCTCCATAAATTATGAAAATAAAAATTATAAAATATTTGAGTTGAGAATAATAAAAATTAGGTGTATGACTAATACTCAGGTTCTGAGTAGCACCTATGTACAGAGACAGTGAGATGGACAAAAGAGGTAGAGAATGACCTTCAACAGGGCAGGGAGCAGTATCTGATGGTTTATAGGGAGGATTGAGATTACAAAATGTAATAATTTCCTCTACATATCTGAGTAACTACCAATTCAAAGAAAAAGTTAACAGAATGAATATAAATAGATAAAAGCTATAAAACTAAGGTTTATATTGAGTATACTGAAGCCTAATGTGGAGCTGCCAAAGGCTTCAGTATTGGTAAGACATTTTCTTCTTTTTATGGCTGAATAAAACTCCAGTGTCTATACACAAATTATCTGTACCTCTTCATCTGCTACTGGGCATATTTGACTTGGAAATTAGGCTGGTTCTATATACCAGGTAAAAGAATGAGGCAATTAACATGGTGTACACGTTTATCTGTTCTGTGGTATGCAGACACGCATTCGTAAGTTATATGATGGTATGCTCCCGGGGATAGAATATATCCAAATCATAGTGCAGTTCTATTTTTTAGTTTTTTGAGAAATTAAATTATATGACTTTCACTCATTTTGATTTCTATACTGACAGTACCAGTATTCAACTTACCAATTAGTGCTTAAGATCTCTTTATATTTTTATCAGCTTTTGTTCCTAATTTCCTTCCTTCCTTCTTTCTTTCTCTCTTTCTTTATTTCTTTGGATTCTTTTCCACATCCAATTACCATCTTCATTGTTTTCCTAGAGCTTGACAGATTTTACCATAGAAGTCTTTATTCTCCTTAGCTATCCCTAGGTACTTCTTTTCTGAGACTATTGTGAGTAAGTCTACTCTTGTTGATTTCTTTCTTGGAAAACCCATGATTGGTTTAAAGAAAATTCCTGGTATTTGAGTATTGATATTGCCTCCCACTACTTCCTTGGAAGTTGTATGATTATGGTAGTTTAAATGGGTTTAACTGGTCCCATAATCTCAAAGGGAGTGGCTCTGTTGGAGTGGCTGCAGCCTTGTTAGAAGAAGTATGTATAAAGCTCCTGCTTGACTTCCTGCTCCGACTTCCCTTGTTGATGGATTATTAAATCAAATAAATTCTCAAGTTTCTTGTAGTCAAGTTATTTTTATCAGAGCTTCAGAAAGGAAACGACTAAGAGTTCAGAGGTGGTGTCTGTTTCCTACGCGCCATTGTGAAAAGGTCTCATCGTGGAAATTGTGCCATGAAGCTGGCATCTGCTTCGTTGGGCTCCTTGATGCCAAAGGACTCTGCACCTTCACTTTCTCTCCATCTTCACACGAGGTTTTCAAGTGTTGTCAGGTGACTGGTGTCCTTCCAACTAAACATTTCTTGCAAGGAACAGATATTCTAAGATCCTTCCTAGGATATAGGGCACTGACAATCCAGATGTAGCTGTGAGAAAGAAATATTTAAAGCCTAGCATTCTGCTCTTTTAAAAGAACACATACAGAACCCGGCCTCCTAAGTAAGGCATTCTCACCATTGCTGCCGTGAGACATAGTCACATTTTCATAAAGCCATTGGATCCCAAGCACAAGTGGGGTAGAACTGCAATCTTCATCACTTCGGGTTTATCAGGATGGGCTGGCAGGAAGCAGAGCTTCACTCTTGCTCAAGCCGAAAGTGCTTTGGCCAGGCTGATGGGTTCCATTCATGCAGAGCTATATCTTCCTCTGTCTGTATTAGCACCACAGTGGAGCTCAACTTCATGTGTGATCTCACCCCCAGAAGTTTCAAAAAGCAGCACACATCAAATACTGGCTATAAGAGCTTGCCTTGCATGATTTTAAAGAAGGATACAATATATATATATACTAAGATCTTTCTTGAGTCCAAAGCAAATCCGCATTGTTATTCTAGCTGACAAGGGCATTTACTTTAAGACAGAGTTGTGACTTCATCAGTTGTTAAGATTTAAATATTTTGCCTAACTGATGATTTCAAAGTTCTGAGTTTCCCTGAGGATTTCACAAATATTCCAGTAAGTTATGAAACAACTGTGGACACAGAAAGAAACAGAGGTAAAGGAATAGGTGGCCAAAGTATTTTTATTTTTCAAAAATGGAATAAAGCTATCACATTTAACAATGTGACACTACTGGGTGTGTGTGTGTGTCTGTGCACAAGCCTGTTTGTTCAATATATATATTAGAGTGTAGCTTGAATAATAGAAACCCAGAGACAGATATTGGGGTTCAACCTGAAGATCAGAAAAGCAAAGGAGCCAAGCCACTAGAGAGCTCTTAACTCTAAGGAATCCTCAGACTGAAACAGAGCTAGTTCCTGTAGCATCTGCCATGTGGATCTGTTTCTGCAATGATCTTGTGTAGCCCAGCGTAGCCGTGAACTCACAGAGATCCATCTGCCTCTGTCTTCCAAATCCTGGGATTAAAGTTCTGTGGCACTACTGCCTGGCCTCTAGTGGCTTAGTTCTACCTTCTGGTCTTCAAAGCTTTATTTATAAAACCTAAATAAAATTTCACTATACTAGAGAGCAGCTTCAGATGTTACTTGGCATGGAACTCATGGCGATCATTGCTGCTTGGCAAATTTCCAGCATTTTAACATTGCGGATCACGCTTCTTCAGCACCTTTTAACTTTCATTTTTAATGATTCTCACTATGTGTTATGAGCTTTCTCTTATGCCTTTTATTTTGGGAAATTTTGTGAGGGGTTTGAAAGTTGGAAATGTAAATATTGCAGCCTCCTTAAAACCAAATTTTATTTTTGAAAAAAAAAATCCCTGCCAGTGCAGAGCCAGAAAAACACGGTACCCTCCTAAATTGCCTCAAGAACGGGAAAGTTAAGAGATTTACCAGACACACCTGATCCCAAGGATGAAACACTGACGATCCAGGTCTAGAACCTGAGTCATTTAACAAGTGCTGAGAGATCAGAATGGTACCACATAATGAGGAAAGAATAAAACATAGGACCTTCCCTTTTGGGAGCATATAAGAACTGGACCATATAGTAAGACTAAGACACAAGAGTACACAATTAGGGAACAGCTCAGCACAAATGGTGCATCATGCCCCTTAGGGAATGAAAATTACTCTTAAATTGCAGTGGAGTGTCTGGTCCCCAGAAGTCCTTTTTCCCAAGGGCAGGCATTTGGATAAGGACCTCCATTTCCTCGGGGGTTTGAGGAAAGTTCCTGCTTGCTCAAAAGGAAGACACCCTTATGTCCCTAGCAGAGGAACTTTTGGGCCTTCCACTAACACGTGACTGGTGCCTATTAACTCATCACGGTCAATACTAGATTCCTCAACCCCTGATCTGAAGTCACACCCCAGCTCATATGCCGCTTCTTACCCATTTAATCCTATGTGCAACTATATAGTATAAAAGGTATATTTTTAATAGACATGTTGGTAGCCATCCTGATTCACTGATTCACTCTCAGATTGTGTCAGTCTCCTTTTTCTCTTCACCACCTCCACACATCCTATTTGGGATGTGAACTCCCCCCAACCCACCCACCTGAAGCTGGTCTCCATCCATTACTCATCAATAGCGTCTCTCTCTCCAGAATATCAACTTGTCAAACCTTGGCAAGCTGTCGAGGCTTCCTGACTAGGGAATGCCAGTGGTTTCACTGTTTCTGTCTCCCCAGTGCTGATTAAAATGTGTAGGGCACTAGATTTCTTCATAAGAGATTTGGGGATCAAACCCAAGTCCTCCTCTTTACTCAGAAAGAATTTTATAGACTGAGCTCTCTACTTCTCACTTGTTTATAATTTTCAAACTTTTGGAGGGCTACATTTCTAAAATTAATACCGAGAAAGGATGAAGTATTTCAATGTAATGATAACAAAGACCTGATGACCACAAAACCACACAGGAATTGAGGGAGAAGAAAGGGATTTAGAAAGACAGATTAAGAGGGAAGCTATATGTAATGACAGAGACCTGGCTGTCCTGCACAAATTCCTGCATCCCATAATGGCATCCACTCAGTAGCATTGTGCCTGAAGGATTCTAAGGTCGACTTTCAATATCCTCGTTAACAACTTTCTCCTGAACCTCCTCATTCCCATATTTTCAGCAGCCGTTCTGAAGTCACTGAAGACATATCAATAACAGTTCCTTTAAATTCAGGATCCTATCGCTCTTAGGTAAACATACTCCTTCCATGACAAATTCTGTTTCATGTTTATTTAACACAGTTGCTTATTTCCTTTGGCAAAGGAAAACAGTGAGTGCTTTCTCACGTGTCTGGGTTCTCATGGTGAGCTGAGATTATTCTCTTGTGTTTCAGAAGTGTTCCGACGAAGTAGAAGGAGGCTCATTCTTATTATGTCTCTAGGCAGATTAGGCAAAGTTAAATGCCACCAAATAACCCTATGAATGCTGGAAGACTTGCTCCTGGGACTACTGAAAGTCTTTCTGGCTGTATAATTATTCCTTGAATCAGTACTTACATTATGCTTTGTGAGGCTTGAAATATTAGCTGCTATTGCTTGGAGCCAATCCATGCAGTCTTCAGTAGACAGGCACTGAATAATTCCACTGCAGACTCCATCCACAGCAACAACTTGGAAAGCGTTCTGCCTAAAGTTGCATCAGAGCAGAAGAGACCAAACACCTCGTTAGTTAGCTGTTTGGAACTCAGTTCTGTACCTAGAAGAGTTCCTTCTTCATACAACTGAACAAACAACTTCCAGAGTCAAATTTGATTATTTTTATGCTTATATCTGTTTTTAAATAAATCAACAAAAAGATCAAGATATTATGCAATTTCAAATAGTTAGATAACATTCTTAAATTCAGGTAAATGTGGACAAAGTATGTAGAATTGAACAGCCTCGACTCAGGGGCATCTTTTTCCTTTGGCCACACATGCAGTCTATGATTCTTTCTCTGATCTTCTGACATGTGTCATTATATTTCCTGACTTACAGTGAAAAGATTGCAAACATAAACAAACATTAAACATTACACTGTAAAACTCATGCTAATTTCTTGAGTGTTCTTTGGATATAGAGTTAGTGGTCAGGAATACAAGAAACCACAGCATGAATAGAAGCCCCCAAAGGCTCTGATCCTGAACACTCATCTGTTGTGTAACATGGTGCACTTTAGAAATTTACAAGGCATATTTAAATCCACCAATGATGGTGCCATACAAAGTTTCCACAGCTGAGCATTCAAAATAGAATACCAGCTTCATGTATTATGGGGGAATCTTCAGCTTATGCCCCATTCCAAACACCACCCAGATGACCAATTGGGGACTTGGCCCCACTCCTTCCATTCCAAATATGGCTCCTCACAAATCTCCTCCCCAGTAGCTGCTCAAGATTGTGCCTACAGAGTAATGAAGCTCTATTCCCTATAGCTATCAGGTGATTTCACCCCCTCTGTTTCTCTGAGATCATCAGAGGTGCTTTGTTAATTAAACTTGGACTTTCAATTCAGCCTGAACTGACTTACTCCATCAGAAGAAAAAAAAAAAAAAACACTACTGGGGATCCAATACTTATCTTGCGCTGAGCCCAGGTAGAGTTGAGTCTTTCCAGAGACAACTTGGCTATGGAAAGCCAGGCTCCCTTCGATCCCGCCTCTGTCACCCCCAGACCAACTTTTGCTAAGTTCCCAAACTAAATTCCTGCTCCCAAATTAAAGTCCTATAATCTCTTCCACCTTTGCCAAGATGGACCAAATGCATCCACATAAATGGAGGCTGCTCGCTTGTTTCCTGACCACCCAGATCAGAAATAATCACACAGATACTATATTAATTTCAATAGCTTAAGTGTATTTCTAGCTGGCTCATATATATATATTTTGATTTTTCGAGACAGGGTTTCTCCGTAGTTTTTGGTTCCTGTCCTGGAACTAGCTCTTGTAGACCAGGCTGGCCTCGAACTCACAGAGATCCACCTGCCTCTGCCTCCAGAGTGCTGGGATTAAAGGCGTGCGCCACCACTGCCTGGCTTAGCTCTTATATCTTAAATTAACCCATTTGTGATTCACTGCAAGATTGTGACCTACTAGCAAGGTTCCAGCAAACTCCTGCAGGTGTGTTTCTCCTTTGGTGGCTACATAGTGTCTCTCCCTGACTCCACCTACTTTCTCCCAGCATTCAGTTTAGCTTTCCCAGCCTAGCTCTATTCTGCCCTGCTGTAAGCCCAAACAGCTTCTTTGTTCATTCATTAACCAATAAAAGCAATGCATATACAGAAGGACTTCCCACATCACTGATAGATTTTCCAGTTTAACAGCTGTTACCCAACCCCATACTGGGTTTCCAATACTTATCAATATTTAAATATTCTCTCCAAATATACCCCTTTACTGGCTCGATCAGTTTACATCTGAGCATTTGAGGATATTATTAGGTGTTCCCTGACACAAAGGAAAACCCAGAAAGTATATATCTGACCCAGAGTCATGAGCAGGCCTCTGTCTATTTAATTTTTCTTTAGACCAGATCCAGTCTCTAAAGGAAAACTTGATGCCTGATAGGTTTGTTTTCCAAATCACTGTGTATTCACACTGTTAACAGTTTTAGTGGTGGTATTTCTCATACCTGACACTTCCAACCGAAGACAGACAAGTGCTCAAACATGCATCACTGACTTGCTCTTAAAATAGATGTTTATTAGTAATAAAGTGATTTTAAACGTCTTATGATAAAAACATGCTTCATTAAAAAAAGTATATCCAAAATTCAACTATACATTAAGTTTAGTTCATGTATTTAGTTGACAGTCTAGCCTTTAATGGTGGAGCCACCTCTCTAGCCCTGAGCTCTAATTCCAATACTCCACAGTGAGTAAGGTGTTTACAATATCCAGACCTAAGGCTGGAGAGATGGCTCAGCAATTAAAAGCAAAGACTCCTCATTCAGACCTAAATTCTATTCTCACCACCCACATGGATGCTGTAAACAGCAGTCCCTGGAGACAGACATCCTCTTCTGAATTTCAGGACGACTAAATATCTACTTGTTGCACAGACATACATGCAGGTTAAACAAACATACACGCTAATAATTTTTTAAATGTCCTGACAGAAGCACAATCATCCATGGAAAATGAGATCAAATTTGAATGTAGCAATGTATACTTTTATCCACTCTGTGTTTGCCGTGACTTTTTCTTTATAAACTACAATAAGAGGACAACAACTCAGAATTTTTAGCTGCTCAGTTCTAAAATTTATGTAATCTTATATCTTATGTAGTCCCTGATAGAATAAATCTGAAAAACTAATACTTTATACATCAGACCTAGATATTAACACAAGTTTTTTATACTCAGTGTAATGAATGTAAATACATACATTTTAAATTATTGAAGTCAATTACTCTTATTTTTATCAATAATTGATTCTAAGTCATAAGTCTTACTTTGTGAGGGTTTGGTTAAGAGAAATAAGATAAACAATTATATTTGTGCATCAGAAACAAGAATTTCAGAGGCTGAAGTATACAAAATTATTGTGACTTGATTACTGTCACTATGAGCAGGATACTGGATACAGAATAGGCATAGAAAATTGGTAAAGGCTCTGTGGGACTTCCTGGCAATGAAAAGCTAGCACAGATCCATGGTAAGCATTTGTCTGGTTATCAAGGGTAGATAAGCAGTGTGGGTCAGCCTATTATTAGGGAAAGTAATATGACTGGGAAAATCTTCTAAGGTACACAGATGGATTAGGACACTTGGACAAATGGATGCAGTTCAATAGCTCTATGATTAAAAATGAACAGTAAGAGACAACAGAACCAATATTCCTCCAGGGTTTTTGACCTAAAAAACAGAACATCTATGGTGGGAAAAGCAAGGGAAAGCCTAAATTTTACACAGAAATAAGAAATCCAAAACAAACCTAGGGGTGCAAAAGGCACAGTGTATTTCGAGAAAGAATGGTTGCTGGATCTGTTTATAATAAGAACTCATCTATAAGAGCTTGCAAATTATTCCATACATGCCTAGATTGGACAATTAGTTAATCTGGAGTAATTGCAAAGGAAAGAAAGAAACAAAATGAGAGCTCTAGCTCTCAATTAACAATTGTTCTCAAGTCACTGGCAGCAGGCTCATTGTCCTCCAGCCCTGATTAGACTTTGGGACTCTTCTTTCAGCTTTTCTATTAAAAGAAAAAAGTTTGCTGACCCTTATAGGAATACATATCAATTATAATGTTCTACCCTTGAAATTCACCAACCCAATACCCAGACTTCCCAAGTCCTCCTCCAGCGTCTAAAGATGTGACGTTCTGACCTCTTCATCCACACATTTTCCGTAATCTACAAAATTTAGACCAGGTTCTCACAACCTGTGCTGCAGCCAAAACTAGTCTCCTCTCCCTTCACTCTATGCTTGGGCCCATATCCTCCTATTTACCCACAACACAACAGATTCCCCTATGTCTTACCCAACCTTTCCATAAAGTCTCATCTGCTCCCACATTCCCCCCTTGGAACAGGAATCACGTCCTGTACACCCAGCTAAGACCCAAATCTTTTTTTTTTAATTTATTTATTGAAGATTTCTGTCTCTTCCCCGCCACCGCCTCCCATTTTCCTCCCTCTCCCCCAATCAAGTCCCCCTCCCTCATCAGCCCAAAGAGCAATCAGGGTTCCCTGCCCTGTGGGAAGTCCAAGGACCACCCACCTCCATCCAGGTCTAGTAAGGTGAGCATCCAAACTGCCTAGGCTCCCACAAAGCCAGTACGTGCAGTAGGATCAAAAACCCATTGCCAGCCGGGCGGTGGTGGCGCACGCCTTTAATCCCAGCAATCGGGAGGCAGAGGCAGGAGGATCTCTGTGAGTTCGAGACCAGCCTGGTCTACAAGAGCTAGTTCCAGGACAGGCTCCAAAACCACAGAGAAACCCTGTCTCGAAAAACCAAAAAAAAAAAAAAAAACCATTGCCATTGTTCTTGAGTTATCAGTAGTCCTCATTGTCCGCTATGTTCAGCGAGTCCGGTTTTATCCCAGGCTTTTTCAGACCCAGGCCAGCTGGCGTTGGTGAGTTCCCGATAGAACATCCCCATTGTCTCAGTGTGTGTGGGTATACCCACACACACTAAGACCCAAATCTGCCTACCTGACTGTGTCTATCCAAACTACTTCTAACTTTTAGGCTTAGTCTGCTTCCACATTCTTCTTTCTCCCCAATACTACTTCATCCATAACAGTTAAATCAAATAAAAGAAACCCAAATGCCCAGTCTTATCTCCGAAGTACCAACAGTATATTAAGCCTGTATTTTCTGGCCAAAATTGACCAGTCACGTGAAAATGCTTGACAATGAGTATTATATAGATGAAGTCTAGGACACAGAAATTAAATCATCATACATCTCTGAAAGTATTCAAGGAGCTTAAAGATAGACTAAAAGCAGGGTATGTTTAAATAGACAGATTTATGAAAGCAAAAATATGTCTTGAGAACTCTGTGATAAATATCATTAAAATTTTACCAAATGTTGAATAGACAAGGAAAGCCCAAAATGTTCAATGTTCTGAACTTATATAATTTTTCCAGAAAAAGTTAAATTAATGTATTATATTACACTAAACAGCCATGCAAGTGTGAAGTTCAGGTCAAATTAAAACAATAAATGGATATGTGTATTACATTATGCATCAGCCTAAGATAGAGAAAATAAAGAAGTACAAATGACTACCTAAAAATTAAAGAAAAATAAAATAGATTAGTACAGTTAGCTTATTGAGAGAAAGGACTCAAAGAAAAGTCCTTGACCATATGTAGGGCTCACAGTTGTAAACACTAAAAATAATAAATTTAGAAATTACAGAATGGACTAAAGATATAACCAGACGTTTCATCAAAGTAAAATTCTTAGTTGGCAAATATAATCAAAAGCTGGTCAACACCACTAGAATGTGCATTATCAAGAGGCATGGATCACATCCCCTGGGAGGATAAAGCAACTGGCAAGCTCTCGAACCTGTACTAGGAAGGGACACGGATAGACCAATGCTAGAGAGACTCACTGGGCTCTTACAAAACTCCCAGCCAATGCTTTCCGAAGAAATCACCACCTATCAAATCTCTGTGCCACTATTCACACCATTTGTGCTATTCACCGGTTATCATAAAACCTAATGTCTTAAAAATGGTCATTACTTTTTTAAAAAATGATTAAACTACTTTGAAAAGGAAAAAATAGTGGGGTATGAAGAGTTGAAAAGGGAAGCTACCAATTCTACTAAGCAATGCTGAATCTAATAAGCATTCGTGTTAAAATGAATCCATTAACAAAACGTCATCAAAATGATGAAAGAATAGAGATAAAGAATAGATTCGTAATCGCTGAGGCTTACAAACAGCAAAGGCTGTAGGACAAAGGTATTCAAGTGTATCATGAAAGACCACCATGGATTCGTAGATGAGGGAGATGTTTATGGTCTCAATTGTGATTTTACATGAAGAAATATGCACAGGCTACATCATCCCATGTTGTTGAAATTTTACTATTTGTTATTTGGGAGCTCTCCACCCAGCTCCCAAATAAATACATGGAGGCTAATCCTTACTTATGAATGCCCCACCTTAGCTTGGCTTGTTTCCAGTCAGCTTTTCTTAACTTAAATTATCCCATCTATCTTTAGCCTCTGGGCTTTTATCTGACTCTATTCTCTATACCTTTCTTTACTTCTTACTCTGTGGCTAGCTGTGTGCCTGGGTGTCTGGCCCCTGCCACCCTTCTTTCCTTCTTCTATTGACCCTGTTCCTCTTCTTGTTATTCCTCTACTTTCTCTGCCTAAGCCCTGCCTATCCTCTCTCCTGCACAGTTACTGTCCATTCAGCTCTTTATTAGATCAATCAGTTATTTTAGATGGGCAAAGCAGCACAACTTCACAGAGTTAAACAAGTGCAATATAAAAGAATGAAACACATCTTAGCATCATTAAACAAACATTACACAGCATAAATGAGTGCAATACATCTTAAACTAAATTCCACAATGATCTCATAGAGGTAAGAAACTCACACAGAGTAATAATGGAATGAAGATGCTTTCAATGCCAATTTTCTGGCTATGAAATCACACTACAGTTTTGAAAGCTGTTGTATTATAGAAATGGTTAAAGGTACAAAAAAATCTTATATATCACTTCTTCCACCCGGATGTTACTCCACAATCACTTCAAAACAGAAATGGTATAATCATAAAAATAGTATTTCATATAGAAAAGTATCAGACTAGTAGATATAATACAAAATATATCATTACCTAAATTCAAAGAAATTACTAGATTAAATAATCTAGTTATAGTATTTTTTTTTGTTTTTTGAGACAGGGTTTCTCTGTGGTTTTGGAACCTGTCCTGGAACTAGCTCTTGTAGACCAGGCTGGTCTCGAACTCACAGAGATCCTCCTGCCTCTACCTCCCAAGTGCTGGGATTAAAGGCGTGTGCCACCACCGCCCAGCAGTATTACTTTTTTTAATTTGGAATAAAAACAAAAAACGAAGAAAAATTTCAAACATATGCTACCATGGAGAGATTTTTTAGAAACTAGGAATTATTAAAAGAAGGGAGAAATATACAGGCACTTACTCATCAATACCAATCTCCTGTCATATAGATAAACATTTGAACAAAGAAAACATAGTGTAATTTTCAAAAAATAAGCATAGATATAGAAATTTTAAATCTTTATGTATCCTATAGATTAAAATTAAATATAGAGAGCAAATTCAGACAACTAAAAGTAGAAATACATATATTTATCATCAAAATGGACTCTAACTCAGCCAATGCATTTCTTATAATTCATAAAAAAATATCATTCATAATTCTGAAGATCAAAATTCCTCATAAATGGATATGCTCAAACTGAAATATGTAGAACTTTGCAACAAAATGATGATGCCGGTGCTTTTATAAAAACAGGGGAGACATTTCCCCAAATAATATACAATTGGAGAAAAACTTGCTTTCAACAAATATCACAGGTTTAAAAGTATCCATGATGAAATCACAAAAGAAAGCCAAAATCAAAACAACAATTCAACCTCTTAACTCCTTCAAAATTTTTAAGTACATTCTCATGTAGCCCATGGTTTAAAAATATTTAGTACATGAGAAGAGATGGTTATTAACCCAAGTGAATTTTAAATGCTGACAAGGAAAAAGTGGCTGCATACTTCTGGGGTCCCCTTTCTCAGCTGGAGACCTTGACCACAAGCAGTCAGCAAGAGGAGGCCAGGAACGGCTGATCGTTGGTTATAGAGGGACCTTGGAGTTGAGTGGTGACAAGATAGTTGTTACCTTGAGGTTCCTTGTCTTACCCATCCCTAGCAGGGCCTTGAAGATGCCTCCCACACTGGAAAGCTATAAGCTGCATAAGTCACACGTCTGAGCTCAAGGACACAAGAAGGTAAAAACCAACCAAAGGACCATTGTGGAGCCTGACTGACCTAGTGAGCAGCTGCCAGCTGTGTGTCTGAGCTGGTCAAGAAGCTTTGGTGGAAACAGACAGAAGTCCCTTCTTTCCAAAGAGGTTCCTCGGTCCCCGAGGCATCTATCTATTTC